CGGCGGGGCTGACAGTCTGGGGGCTGGGGTGCAGGGTCCGCCCGCGCACCGTCGTGGGGAGGAAGCGAGGCCCCGGGAGGAAGGAATGGATCCGGTCGCCCCTCAGTCGGGTTTGCACGGGAAGGAGGCAGCCATCTGGCGGCTTGCGGTCCGGGGACTGGCCCCGAAGGTGGGACTCAGGTGGAACCTCGCGGGGGAGGCGAGAGGCGGTGTCGGGCCCTCGGAGCACTGGTCTCCGAGAACAAAGCATACAGAACACCCACCAGTCGCAGTCTCCCCCAAAGTCCTCTAGCGGGGTGACTTAGCTCAGGTAGGGCGCGACCTTTCAAAACAAAACAAACACAGCGCATCCCGCTCACCTTGGACTTCACCGTCCGTGGGCCGCGCGCGAGTCGCCGGTCACCGGGTGGCTCGGGCTCGTATGCAAACGAGTCGGCAGCGGGAAGGGAGGGGGTGAGCCCGTCGGTGTGAGTGGCATTTGCAAGTAGGGGCTCTATTTGCAAAGTATTGGAAGTTTAACCAGAATCCCCTCAAAGACAGTTCAGTTATCCCTGTTCTTGGAGTTCAATTTAAGGACTTTTATTGATGCAAAACTCCGGTTGTTGATGCCGAAGAAGGGAAGGCGGAGGAGGGGTCTGCCGCTTTTCTTGGATATCATTTGCATTTCTTCAAACATTAAGCAGATGTACTCATTCCCTTGAGCTTTCACATATATCATAACCTGCCTTTAAAATATATATGCCATATGGGGTGAGAACGTTTTTCTTTAATTTACTGAATCTAAATACTCAACTATTTGGGTGAGTGTGGTGTGAGGGGTAGACCCATCCCCACCCCCACCCCCAAGCAAATACACAAATTATATATATAATCTTATATTTTAAGTGTTGTGAGGATTTCCCCCTTCCCCCCAAAGATACCCTTAAAAAAAAATAACACTTCTAGTTACAGGAAATAATTTTTTGGGCAATGTTGCGGTTAAAAAGAGGACAATATTTGAAAAGAAATTAAAAATTGCTTTTACGATTATAGCAGACAATGTCAGCCTGTCTTTGCTGCCTCTACCCTTGTAATGGCTTTTTGAAAAGTCAATTTCAGTGGCTACAATCTTTTCCTGCTGTTTACTAGATTTCATGCTGGAATGCCTATTATTTTTCTTCCCTTAAAATTAACACTGAAAGGATGTTTTTGTTTTGACACTTCTCCTCTAATTGTTTCACTTGAAAAAAGGAAAAGAACAAATGAGAAATGGAGATTGTAGCATTAGTAATTGATACCAATTTATTCAGCTATTTACAGTGAGAATGAAGAGCTATTCAGATGCAATTTTAGTCCAGATTGGTGGTGCTTTAAAATTATAAATAGAGGTCTTAATTGATTGTGTTGTTCTGTGTATGTTCTCTGGACAGCATGTATCTTTCCAGTATAATTTGAGATATTTAATTTTAAAGCATTATATTCTGAGATAAAATTTTCTCCCCTTTTGGGCCCCTGAATCTCATTCTAAAACATTAAGAAAACCATCTCCAAATTAAGTCGATATTGTGTCTTGGCTGTTAATATTTTAAGTAGTTTAGATATGTAATTTTTTGTCTCTTGCATATTATATAATTTGGTGTGTTGTGATGAATATGGTGAGCATGACTAAACTCAGAGTTATGTTGGAAAAGCAATCCCCCCTGCAATAGAATCAACTTTTAAAATTTGAGTTCTCCAAAATAAATCTTCCAATTTAACAAACATTTATTGGGTGCCTGCTTTTTGCACGGTTTTACACCATGCACTCCATTGAATAAGAATTGTAGGTAAAATTATACCTGCCTTTTAAAATTTTACAAACAAGAAAGCCTGTAGGCTATACATTTTTCCCACTGATACATGTTTATATTCCAGGTGGAAATTGGGCAAGTATTAGACACCGGTTTGGAAGGGTGTTCTTGAACACCCCTGACAACACCGTTCTGACAGTATTTCATGACAGTAAGTATGTTTTACCATTTTGGTTGTTAATTAGATTTGCACAGTAATTAGCTGGAAATTACAACTGATTTTATATTGGAGATTCCTTATAGGATGAATGCCTTTCAAGTCTAGACAGACAGTACCGCTATTCATTCCCAAAGCTTCCTTCTTTGTAGTGACTTGGTCTATAGTGTTTGCTGTGGGCCCCAGAGGGCTGTCAGCTACAGGATACAAAGCTTGTCCCAGCTCTTAAGAGGCTGTCTGTTTATCTGGTAGGGCTTTAGTCGAATTGAGTACTTCAAGGACAGTTATGTGTGGAATGGAAAATGCTGGCTCTAAATAAGGACGGTACAAATGAAAAGACGAGAGGTGGGTAGGCCTGGGTAGTGGGAGTGTCATGGAGGGGAGCTTGTAGGCCTCCAAATGAGCCTTGAAGGTTGAATGGGATTTGGCTAGGTGGGGGGTATTGCCAAATGCAGAAGCCTGAAGGCGAGTAACTTACGTTTAGGGAATGGAGAGTACATTTGCATGGTCCAAGGGGGGATTTCACAGGATAATTGAGTGTCGAGATTCCCCTTGGCCTGCCTGGATACTTAGTCCTGGATCTGCTACTATATCTGTGACATCAGGCCTTGAGCAGTGATTGCCTCACTGCTAAATTAAAAGAGCTGCATCTGGTGATCCTTAGAAAGGCACGTTCTAGCACTAAGATTTCTTTTTTATCAGATTATAAGAATTGAAAACAAGATTAGTTAGGTTAAGTGAGGGACCCACTCTTCATGCCTGGAAAGATGATGAGAACTGCATTTGAAGGGACAGTAGTCATAGAAGGTTTCATTTGTCCAGTTCTTCCTACATATGGTGCTCTTTGCTAAGTGCTAAAAGGCACAATAACTTCACCTCTCATAGCAGCCCCATTTAAATGGGGAAGCGGAAGCACAAAGAGAATGGTACGGAAAGACATACAGCTACGAAGGGGGGAGCTCAGCTTCAAACCCATGTGGTCTGTTCTAAGAGCCACTGTTCCATCATGCCTCCTGGTAAGATGAATCCGAAACCAGGTGCATTTCTTAGCCAGCTGACCATTAACGTCACATATTTTAGAGAACACTATTTTCAACTAAATAATTAGAATTGTTACTAAAGGAATTCATTGGGATTTAACTACTCTTTTCCTAGGATCAAGTTCCCTTGATCCTAATGATTCATCGTTTTACCCGTTCTCTTGTCATTTTCCTACCTGCTCTTCCCTCTGTTCCCTGTCCTTCACCAGTAAGTGTCACAAGTGGGCATCCTGGTACCACTTATACATTCTTGGTCACCAACTTCAGTCAGGCTCTTCCTTCCCGTTCTCTGCAGCAGTGGCATCGTCTGCCCAGCTGCACGAATCCCAGCATTATCCTTGGTTCTTCCTCCAGCTCTGGTTCAGTCAGATCTGCTGCTTTTACCTACTGCTAACATCTCTTCAGCCTCTGCTCTCTCCAGTCTCCAGATACTGGAGCGACCATCATCTTGCCTGCGTTCCTGCCCTGATTGCAGCACTGTGGTCCTTGCTGGTCTGCCCCTGTCCTTGCCCCCCTCAGTTCATTGTTACACTGGACTGTAGCCCGAGTGGTCTTTTAAAAAAGAAATCTGATTTGCCCCCTTTGCTCTTGTCCACTGCACTGCTTGATCTAGCCCCCACTTAGCTTGCTCTAATCCACCAGGACTATATTTCCCTCTTTCCTTTGTTTGGAACATTCTTTTCCCATCTTTCCCTGCCTAACTGATTTCTGTTCATCTTTCAGTCTCAGTTTAAATGTGATTTCCTAACACAGCCTTCCTTGACTCTCGGACTATGAGGTCCCTTTCGGGAAAACTCCCCAAACATACAACAAAACATCTTTGTTTTCCTTAGCACTAACAGTTAATCATTTGTAATTATTTAATAGCTCCTATTGTACCATGCTGTCTTTACATGGCAAGTTCTATTCTCATCCTACTTGCTCAAGGTCTCATGACCAGCAAGTAGTAGGAAATTCAAACCAGGTGATCCAATTCCAGCACATTCCTTGGAAGTACTGATAGGCTATGCTTACCACCCCTTCCCCATGCCCCCAGTTTGCGTAACATTTGTCTTCTCTGCTAGATGAGGACAGAGACTTGTCTGTGCTGGTGACTGCTTTCCCATATTGCAGGAACCTCATAAGTACTAAGTGTTTACTTGGTAAATGTTTGTTGACTGGCTTGCTTACAATTGATAATCTATTTTTAGAAATATTTATAGGATATTTTAGACCTAGAAAGAAATCTTTGGGATGTAGCAAGTTCCATCTCTCCCAATATGTAGATAGCATATTGTAAGCATTAAAGAAGAGGCTAATTTGTTGATGTGCACATTCATTTGTTGAATGAAAGGTATAAGTGCTTTGGGGATTCAGAGAAGGGAACACTTAAGTTTTGGCTTGCAGAATGGAGTAAACCCAAAAGATTTCAGGAGGATGGGGGAACACTGGGTTTAAAGTATGGGAGGAAGACAGAAGGTATGGTGAAAGGACAGGAAAGCTAAAACTTACGGAACCAGAGATATAGACAGCTAAGCCCATGATGGCTGGGTGGCTTATCTTCAAAGAAGGGGAGGTGATAGCTAATGTCTCCTGAGTACTCAGTGCCAAACACTGTCCTTAGCAGGTTTCTGTTCTTTGTTTAATTCTGACAACTCCAAAATACTGTCAGTACATTTTTTAGAAGCTGAGGTTTAGAGGCTAATCCAAATGATGATCTTGCTGCTAATTCCAGTGCATGACAAGATATTGCGATTTTTAAAAAAAATATATTTTATTGATTTTTTACAGAGAGGAAGGGAGAGAGATAGAGAGTTAGAAACATCGATGAGAGAGAAACATCGATCAGCTGCCTCCTGCACATCTCCTACTAGGGATGTGCCCGCAACCAAGGTACATGCCCTTGACCGGAATCGAACCTGGGACCTTTCAGTCTGTAGGCCGACGCTCTATCCACTGAGCCAAACCGGTTTCGGCGATATTGCGATTTTTAACTTTTTGCCTTTACTTTTTATGTTATATTTATAAATTAATCTCTCAGATCCTAGTTATTTGAACAGTGTCCTGCAGATCAACTAATTTAAAAAGACTCATGGTATCCTGTGGATATTCATTTTGGAAAGAATTTTTTACTGTGGTTATTTTCTCCCCTATTAAAAAGAGTTGTTTTCAGTTGTTTGTTCTGAAACAACCACTGGTCCTGTCTCCTGCACCGTGATCTCCCCTAGGGCATTGTAAAAACTAGTCAATTCACAGCTATTCTAATTGAGCTTTTTTACGGCTAGTAAAACCTATCATCATGTCTATCTATTAAAGACTACTCCCCTAGTATCTTGTTTGTATTGTAGGATCAATACAGTATTTTATATTTGGGTAATGTTTCCCATGCATTTATATTAACTGCAGTATCTGTGTCCTTGTCTAACACTTCTTTCCATCTCTGTTGGACTTTACAAAGTCTTCAGTAATAAGGCATTTATTTGATACATCTGTTGACTGCGGTATCTAACGTAATTGGAAATACAGATATATTTCGTAATTTACATAGTTTTTTTAGGGGGTAGAGAACAGAATTCACATACCTTTAATAATTTGTGAAAGTACAGGGTACCTATTTACTCATACTTTAAAAAAAAAATTTGACTGATTGATTGATTTTAGAGAGACAGCAATTTGTTGTTCCACTTATTTATGCATTCATTGGTTGTTTCTTGTATGGGCCCTGACCACAACCTTGGCCTATCAGGACAGTACTCTAACTGAGCTACCCAGCCAGGGCCTCTAAGAAGTGATATACAGTCAGTGAGTTATGACTCTGCCTCTCCTACTGATCTCTGAAAACAAGAATCCCTATTGGTTAAATGTATTTCTATATAAAATGGAAATAAATCACCTTCCCTATCTCAAATAGCTGGGTTCTGGGCTTGATGAATATTTAGGATCAAGTGTCTCTTGATTTGGCCTGAAAGCATGTATATATTCCACTTAAATTTTGCTATACTGTTTATTCAGATAATGCATTAAAAATTTTCTACCCACAACTAGCCAGTCCCTTGTTTTTTGTTTTTGTTGTTGTTTTTTCTCTCTCTTTTTAAGTATTATCTGCAAAGCCGAAAGACTTCCAGGGTTTGTCATGTTGGTGAAATAAAGTGTAGTAGTTTAAAATGAACGGTTCTGTTTTTTTCCAGATTTTTCCCTCTTAAAATTCTTTTAGCTCTGACCAAAATTAATTAAGCAGGCATCTTTTCAAATAGCCATTTTAACTCTCACTCTCGTCTGTGGTTATAATTTTCCTACCCTTATATGCAGAACTCCAGTCTCCTTGACCCCTCCTTTTCTTTTTTCTTTAAAGAATCAAAAGTGTGAGGGTAGGGGAAAGAGAAAATGAACCTTTGGCTAGAATTAGAGGCTGATGGGCTCATTCAAAATGTGGGTGCATGCTTGGTTACATGGGTACAGATTGTGCAAGGAATTCATATACTTCTTGTCCCAGACAACAGTTTGAATCAAGACATTGTCTATTGTGGAACTTCCGTGAGACCACAAAGGAAGTTTGCAGAGGAACCAGAGGTTTTCCTAGGAATATTAGGCTTCAGCAGGCGAGCCGAACGTGCCGCACACAGGTGGCTTTTAGGAGACTACTTATTTTGGTTTTGCTTGTTAATCCAGGGGTAAGTTAGGCTATAAATCAGAGTTGTCTATACTATATGTCAGGGTTATGCAGTTGAAAATAAAGAGATGTGTATTTTAGATTCATTTCCTTATTTTGTTTCCCTGTTGGTCTTATGTTTTCACTTATGGAGGATGGTAGGGAACTCTTGGATAGTTGGCAAATTATCAAAAGGTTTCCAAATCAAGAAATAGAAATGTTTTCTTTTAGTAAGCTTAAGCTATGAAAAATGTAGTTGACCTGTCCTATGATATTTCATGAGCACTGACTCTGTTATGTTTTTTACACAAGTTTTACTGAAGAAGATTGAAACACTTTTTCTTCCTAGATGGATGGTGACAGTTCTACAACAGATGCTTCTCAATTAGGAATTTCTGCAGACTATATTGGAGGAAGTCACTTTGTTATACAGCCTCCTGATGGTAAGAGCCACAGTCAGAACAGCTTCACAAGTAGAAGCAAATTAGGAAGTGGAAATTTTATTAATATGATGCTATAGGCTACTTTTGTCTTTATAGTTAAATTAGCAATCTTGCATCACCATTCAGTGAAAGTGTATAAAGGTGTACTGTGCTACTTTAATTAGCAATAGTCTTCAAAGAGTGATGAGTTATAAAAAAGAATTCTGTAAGAGTATGCCTTTTAAAGTTTCTTTAAAAATTTGTTACTGATTTCCTATTTGAGAATGAAACATAAAAAATTCTTACTCAGTTGGAACAGTAAAAAGTTCTTTAGAGGGTGAGTTGCTAGCTATTATTTTTAGTACTTATAAACAGATTTATTTTTGTTTTTCCTTCAATATTAAGTTTGAGTTCTGTAGGTATTAAAATTGGCCTATCAGAAATAATTTGGTTTTGTGGCATTCTGATTTGTAAGATTAAAAGCATTAAGATACATTTTTGTAGAAGACAATTAGAGGAGGCAATTAGTTACTTCATCCTAAAACATACTTAAACAAGTTAATTTTGACAACATCCTTTTAAACACATGAAAATGTATACTGAATCAGCTTAAGTGACTTTCCTATTTAATTCATATAAAGAGTGGGAAGTTTCCTTACAAGATAATGCATTTAATCATCAAAGGGTATTATTGGTACTGGGAAAGCATCAGTTATATCTAAATCTACGTAATTTGAAAATTCACTTTTTGTAATAACTGGATCACTGCTATAGCTTTGTTCAAAACTATAACTACATTAGTAATAAACCAATTAGATCAGTAATATTCAAGTCCAATTTTCCCTTTCTAGGTAAATTTGGCTTTGGGTAGACATATAAGCTCTTAATCTAGCAATAGTCAAGGAGCCATCATCATAGGTCAGGGTCTGTAAGTTTTATAGCTCAGTCATGGGAAACATTTATGAGCACTTGTTTTGTTATAGGTGCTACCAAGTGCTAGGAAAGAGACAAAGCTGACCCCTGGTCTCAAGTAGAAAAAAATCTAATAGAAGGAATCCTATATAATAAAAGGCTAATATGCAAATTGACCGAACGGTGGAGTGACCGGTCACTATGATGTGCACTGACCACCAGGGGGCAAACGCTCAGTGCAGGAGCTGCCCCCTGGTGGTCAGTGCACTCCCACAGCGGGATCGCCACTCAGCCAGAAGCCAGGCTCACGGCTGGCGAGCAGACTGGTGGTGTCAGGAGCCTCTACCGCCTCCACAGCTGCGCTAAGGATGTCCGACTGCGGCAGTCAGAAGACGGCAGTCAGAAGCCATCAGTCGGACATCCCCCAAGGGCTCCTGGACTGCGAGAGGGCCAATTTCTTGCACCGGGCGTCTAGTCAGAAATAAAAAGAATCATACAGTGTGTCAGAAAGATGCAGAGAGGCACTTGTGATGTTTCGTGAAAGCAGAGCTCACTTCTGAAGTGCTGTGCGAGGTTGTTATTGAGCTCTTGGAGAATGAGTAGGTAGGATTTGAGTAGGAGAGTTGAGGACCAAAGTGTTCTAGACAGTAGGTTTGAAATTAAGGAGTGGGATTCGTTCTGGCCCTGAGAAAGTGGTGAAAAAAACTACTATATCCCAATCCCTAAAAAGGGTTAGGAAATGAGCCAGAATGGCTCTCATCCTAGATTGCTATAGACAGTCTTCTCTCTACCTTGAAGTAAAAATTATGAGAAGCCTTAAACTAAATTACTTTTATTTCTTTAGATAATGAGGACAGCATGAATGATCATGAAGACACAAATGGTTCAAAAGAAAGTTTCAGAGAACAAGATATATATCTTCCAATTGCAAATGTGGCAAGGATAATGAAAAATGCCATACCTCAGACGGGAAAGGTAATGTGGAGGAGAAGCTTAACTAGGAGATTTTGGGGATGGGGTGGGGTGGGATGTAAAACTACGTGAACATAGTTCATGACTACAGTTAGTTACTGATTTCAGTCCTTCAGCAAATCAAGTATTTCTTTCAATTCTAATACTTAGTTACTGAACAATATTCCATTTTAAGTTCTATCATGTCCCCCAAATGTGCTCCTTCTCCCACCTATTATAAGCAGATGAAATATAAGAAACTTAAAAAAAATAGGTGTATTGTCAGAGCTATCAGGTTTGGGCATATGAGGTAACTTCCATAATGTTGCAGCAAAATTGGGTCATATTGGACTGATACATGTATTACAAGGATTTTTTAAAAACCCTTTTATACCCTAGCTGGTTTGGCTCAATGGAGCATCAGCCTGCGGACTGAAGGGTCTCAGGTTCAATTCCAGCCAAGGGCACATGCCTGGGTTGTGGACTCGATCCCCAGTAGGGGGTGTGCAGGAGACAGCCAATCAATGATTCTCTCTCATCATTGATGTTTCTATCTCTCTCTCCCTCTCCTTTCCTCTCTAAAATCAATAAAATATATTTTTTAAAAAATCCTTTTATTTGGAAACAACTATTTTGTTTTTTATGTTTTTGTCATTTTACCTGAGAGAACATTTTTTAAAATTGATTTTTAGAGCAGCAGTCGCCAGTGTTTCGGACCTCATGGACCACCAGTAGTCTGCGGACTACTGGTTGGCGACCGCTGTTTTAGAGAGAGAGAGGGAGAGACAGAGAAACATTGATGTGAGAGAGAACCTCTCGTGGTTGACTCCTATACTTGCCCCGATAGGGATTGAACCCACAACCTTTTGGTGTACAGGACGATACTCCAACCAACTGAACCACCTGGCCAGTGTGAAACAACTTTTTTATAAAATTATAGATCTTAACATACATTTAAATTCAACTGGTAATTTTTTAAGTAGTTTTGTTAGAACAATTTAAAAAATTCGTCACTGTACTCACCACTTGGTCTCAAATAAAATTCACACTTTTTATGTTTTATATTGCATAATAAACTTCTATCATTTTATTATAGCTTATAAAGTATACGTGAAAGTAATAAAGCTTTTAAATAAATAAATATATTATTAAAATATATCACTCAGCGTAGAAGTTCCAGTTTGAGAGGTCCTCTTTATGTTTGTTTGTTTTTTAAAATATTTTTTTTTATTGATTTCAGAGAGGAAGGGAGAGGGAGATAGAAACACCAATGATGAGGGAAAACCATTGATCGGCTGCTTCTATACATCCCCTACTGGGGATCGAGCCTGCAACCTGGGCATGTGCCCTGACTGGGAATTGAACCATGGGCTCCAAGGCTCAACTACTGACTCACACCTGCTGGGTCTCTTTATATTTTAAGGGGAAAAAAGCACAACTGCTGATGATTGCTGAGGCTAGGCCTGCACTGTTGTCCAGTACCCACAGCTACAAGTGGTTATCGAGCACTTGAAATGTTATTGAGCTAATTGAGATGCACTTGAAATGTAAAGCATAGACCAGATTTTAGAAGTTTGTATGAAAAAAAGAATGAAAATACCTCAATTTTTAAATTGATCCTGTGTTTAAATAATATTTTAGGTTTATTGGGTTAAATAAAACATGTAAAATTAACTTACCTGTTTCTTTTAACGTGGCTACTAGCTATCTAAAGTTATATATACAGCTCACATTATATTATCTTGCTTGACTGCATTTATGAAATTTGTTTACTTTTCTCCAGGATGCTGTTTAGGTATGGAGATGAAAGACAGTATGTTTTAGCAAGGATTTTGAGTGTCATTCCTATTAGAGTGGCTTTGGAATTGCATAATTGAGTCCATTAGAGTCTTATTTTCAAACCCCAGGCCCTTAGGAGAACGGTTTTTATGAGGTGGTGGGTGTGTGCTTCTTTAGGTAGGCTTTTTTGTTGTTGTTAATCCTTACCAGAGGATATTTTTGCCATTGATATATTTTTTTTAAGAGAGAGTGGAAGGGAGAGAGAGAGAGAGAGAAACATCGAAGTGAGAGAGACATATGGATTGCTTGCCGCCTGCATGTGCCCCAACCTGGGCCGGGGATCGAGCCTGCAACTGAGGTACATGCCCTTGACTGGAATCGAGCCCACCCTTCAGTCGGGCCAGCGCTCTAACCACTGTGCAACCAGCAAGGGCTGGGTAGGCTTTTTAATAAACTCAAAACCTATACCTGACACTTTGCATTTTCAGTAGAAAAAATGTCACCAGGTGTCATTCTTTCACTCCCTTGTAAGTCTTATGTGACTTCAGTGTTTGTTTTTCAAAATTTTGGTGCCCTTATTCTGGGAAATGGTAGAGCACAGAACTGGTACCGAAGTCTGTAGCCCACAGTATACTGTCTACACACAACCTGGTTTTCTGGGGACACTCATTAGTAAGGGTTTTTATCTTGGGATGGAAGGGACGTCCAGTGGTTGCTTTTATAACTAAACTAGAGCCCGATGCAAGAGTAGGCCTCCCTTCCCCCAGCTGCCGATACCAGCTTCCCGCTGGCACCCAGGACCTGGGCTTCCCTTGCAGCCCCAACTTCATCCCGAAGGTTGTCCGGTCTAATTAGCATATTATGCTTTTATTATTATAGATTATATCTGTTTTCTGTGAATAGTTGTCAAGGCTTCTCTGACTTGTATTTGAGTTTTTAATTTTCACTCTGAGGGTGGAATTTTAATAGTACAAATTGTGTTTATGTTATTAGCATATATTTCAAAGATTAAAGGTTTAGTCATAAACTGAAGTTTGTATTATTCTGAATAGCTTTCACTTTTGCACATTGTTAGGAAGGTGATGATTATATTCCCTGCAAATTTACCTTTCATTTTTCTCTTCAGATTGCGAAAGATGCCAAAGAATGTGTTCAGGAATGTGTGAGTGAGTTCATCAGCTTTATAACATCGGAGGCCAGCGAAAGATGCCATCAAGAGAAACGGAAGACAATCAATGGCGAAGATATCCTCTTTGCCATGTCTACCTTAGGCTTTGACAGTTATGTAGAACCTCTAAAATTATACCTTCAGAAATTCAGAGAGGTGAGTAAAATGTCTTCCATTATGCTTCTAAGAAAATAAGATACACTATTCACTAACTTGTAAAATGTATTGCTTAAAAATTCATTTTATAGCAAACTACATAACATTTGTTAGATGTGTGTCATCACTTACGTTACTGTACGTAAGTAGTAAGTCCTTTCTTTTTCCTTTGGTTATTACTAATGACAGCATAGTTACGTAATGATTAAGAACGTGGACTCTGGAGGGTGAATCCCAGCTCCACCACATGTGAACTCTGTGACCCTGGGCAGCTTATTTAAGTACGTTAGGCCTTGGTTTCCTAATCTGTAAGGTGAGGTAATAATAGTCCCTGCCTCCCAGCATATTGAGAGGATCAGGTGGAACAGCCTATGGACTGCATTTAGCTGAGTGCTCAATAATGTCAGTGTGTGCGGGTATTGTTAAGAGGTAGTCGTTGCCTATGAATTTTGTGAAAATGAGTTAAAATCGGCGTATTTATTTCTGCACTGCAAGTTGGGTATATGATTCACTTTGCTTTCAAAATATTTTCTTAGTATCTTTAGTGTTAGGATACCATTAAATTCGTGATACCTTTATGGAATGATTAAAGTAGGAAGAAATATGTAAATTCTTCACAGTATTTTTCCAAGTCTTTAGCATCGTGGGACCTTAGAATGGAAGATAACTTAGAGGTCTTTGGTCCAAACTGTAATTTTGATTTAGAAATTTTAAGCTCCATCTATCTGAGCAAAATCAAGGCCCAGAAAGGCAAATAAACCCTCCTTCTTATCTTAGTTCATGTAATAAAGGTGTTTGTTGTTCTTAAAAAAAAAAATTAAACTTTAAATTTGCTGTTACAGTACTGCCCAGTTGGCTGAAAGTGTATATGTAATTGATAACTTGGGTCATTTGTAGTAGATTCATAAGCTGAATATTTATTTATACTATTTTACAGACTATTTCATCTGTAAGTAGAGTTCTATTTTCCTTTTGATGTAGTGTGGAATTAGAATAATTTATTTAATTTTACCCATAAATAATTTAGATTTTCTAGGTCATTATTAAGACTATCTTTTGATGATTACTACTTGTATAAAAAGTTTTAGCATTTGAAGACCTCTTCATATGTAATTAACCAGAAGTGTTAATAAATACTCTGTGTAGTGTTTGTAAAAAGATAAGCTCCTAACTTTAGGAATTAATCAAGCATTCTTGTTTAGAAAACTGTTTCTTTTGAATAGCAGTGATTACTTTTTTGGTTCTCCTCCCCCAGGCAATGAAAGGGGAGAAAGGAATTGGTGGAGCAGTCACAACTGCAGATGGACTAAGTGAAGAACTAACAGAGGAGGCATTTAGTAAGCAGTGTTGTGATACGTTTATACAACTAAATTTAATGTAATTTAATGTCAGTGGTGGTACTTTAGGACTATCAGCACTGAGTGTTTTGACATAGCATTGTCTTGAATAGTCCTTCTTAGTTGATGCCCGTATATTTGAAGTCAGTGAGGGATAAGTATAAAATTTAAATTTTGCAGACATTATAATCTTTCACCAATAGTTCAACTGATTGCCATAGCCCTTATTTTTTCGTTTAAGATTCACGTGAGATAGGAATGCTGAGAACTGTAGTTTGCAATATAAAAATCTTGTGATTTAAATAAATTAGAACTGATTTATTTTTTTAATTATATTGTTATATGGTGAAATAAAAGGTCTATGGTGATTATATTTCTCATATAAACTTTATGTGTAAATATTTTATATTTCTCATATAAACTTACATGATTTCTTATATATAAAATATATGCTGCTTAGGTATGTGAGTGTTGCTTCCAGCCAACCCTCATGGTGTAGGTCTACTCCTGACTCAGAAACTCATTTCTGCAGGTTTGTACACATGGGTAGTTAGCTAAAGTACAGTTCAGAGAAATGAAGATTCAGAAAATCAAAAATGCTTTGGGAGCTTTTTAAAAATGGAATATTTGGGGGTTATGCTTTGGCCCAAGATTACATTGATAAGCAGCAGAATTATAATGAGACGTTAATGGCACAATTTTACAGTGCAGACCAAGAAAGTAGATGCAATTCTTTTCTCACTTTAACTTTTTTTTGTCTTTTAGCTAACCAGTTACCAGCTGGCTTAATAACTGCAGATGGTCAACAACAAAATGTTATGGTTTACACAACATCATATCAACAGGTAGAGTACCTTCTTTGTAGTTTAAATTATTTTAAGAATTTATTATATCCATTGATTTTGATCACAGGTAGTTAATTTCAACACATTATTATTATTAACCTGATTTTTAAAAAGGTTCAATATTATTTTCTCAGAATATATAATTGTTTGGTACTCTCGTAATGTTATACACACACACACACACACACACACACACACACACACACACACTCACACTCACGAGGCCCGGTGCACGAATTTGTGCAAGGGTGGGGTCCCTCGTCCTGGCTGGTGATCAGGGCCATCTCGCCCAGTCCAGGGGGAGGGACTGTGGGAGGTTGGCTGTGGGAGTGCACTGACCACCAGGGGGCAGCTCCTGCATTGAGTGTCTGCCCCCTGGTGATCAGTGCACATCATAGCAACCTGTCATTTGCTCGACTGGTCTTAACGGTCGCTTCGGCTTTTATATGTGTGTGTAATGTTATACACACACACACACACACGGTCATATTTGCATAGAAGATTTCTAGAAATATAAACAAGAAATTAATAAAGTAGTTTCCTTGGGTAGAGAGAGAGATTTGGGGTGAGAAGTAGACTTATTTTTCATCTTCTATTGTTGTTTTTCTTAATTGTCTATTTTTATTCATTGAATGTTTATAATATGCATGTTATTTTTAAACTAATTTTTCATTCTTGCCAACTTAAATTTTCTAATCTTAGATTTCTGGTGTTCAACAAATTCAGTTTTCATGATCTGAAGAAATGATGGAGTGGAGTAGGAGAAGCAAGTCTGTACGATTCCGAAGCAGAGACATTAGAAGGAAAGGACTGGGAAAAGCTGTCTCTCTGTATATCAAATAGCTGTAATGTAGCTTCCTGATGCTTGACTAATTGAGGTGTTAATTCTGACTTGAGGATCTTTTTCATGAATGATTTTAAAGAAAAATTTGGATTTTAAAGGTATTAAAATATTTTTGTTTTGTACAAGAGTTTGTTGCTCTGTATGACTCCTGTATGCATTGTATATTGCAATTTATTACTGTCAGAGATTTGTAGACAGTTTCTTATTTTCATATTGAATCATGTTACTTTTGTAATTCAAGTAAGCAGCTGGGTTAATTCATGATGTTTGCCCTTTTAATAAAATACAAGGGTAGAGTTCATTTTGAATGCAAGTTGCCTTTATTATAAGTTTGAGTTTGTCTTGGTTATATACTATCTTGCATGATAACCTAGCTAGATTTTTAACATTTGCCATATTTATTAAAATTAATTTTTTGTAAAACATTCATAGCGTAAGCAGCACCATTTTTAAAAAATGTAACTGAAAAATTAAGTGTGAACGCAGAAGCATATATTGTCTGCCCAATTAAATTTGGTGCCCATTAACAGTGTTTACACTGTTCATTGTGCCTGTTAAGATAATTTTCGTTTATTGGAGCTTTGTTAAGACTACATTTATTTATTATAAGTGTTGGAATTCATTTAAGTTTAATGTAGTCCTAGTGCTCTTGAAATGGTGCCCCTTTCATTTTGTATCAGATTTTTCCAAAACATACCTTACTATCCTCTTCCAGAAGAGGGACTTTATAGTCTGATGGTAAATGTCCTCATTTTACCTTTTTAATTGAAATGTCAAGTTTCCGGTTATACTATGGGAACCAGGAAGCATCAGACCTCAGTCTGTATACTGACATTTTTTTGCATGGGTGAGTGAATGACATGAAGAATTGAGTGAGTGCTATGAATGGGGTGAAAGAGAAGCCGCCAACTTCTAGTGTGCTGTCTTGATCTTTGCAATAAACTAAACTTATATAATGTAACTTTGCATAATTTAGTAGCATGTATTTGGGTCGTTCCATTTTTGAAATAAGGATTTGTATTTTTTCATCTTTTAGGTGATAATTAACTTGAGTGTGGTTTTAAAAAAAATCAATAATTGCTATTGTATATTTTGCCTAAAAGGGCGAGTGTTTGAGAGAATGTGATCTTGGAAGGATGCTCATATTTATAAGGTATAAGCAGTTTCCCACATATAGGCCGAACAGAAGCATTTACTTTGCTGGAGGCGCCTTTGGGGGCATATCTGGACTAATCTGAGGTTAATAACTTCCCCTCCCCTTTAAAAAATAGTCATCACAGAGAACAAATAAGCAAAAAGGGGAGGAGTGGTGAAACAACCATCATTCTACTACTATGTTGAAATGACCAGTGTTAATATTTTGGTAAATATCATTTGTCCTTTTACTTTGCTAAATATGTATATTTTTATAAAAATAGGTTCGTTCTTGCTTGCATACTGTTTCATAATCTGCTTTTTTTCACGGAATATATTGCAAACATATTTTCCAGGTCATTAGTCTCCTAATTTTATTCCTCTATTCTATCGTGTGGCTGAAGCATAATTTATTTAATCCTCTATAGGACATTTTGACTGTATACATCTTTTCCCAGGTATAAACAATACTTCACTGAATCTTGTGTACATCCATGACTGTTTTCTTAAAATAATTTCTTAGAAGTAGAATTGCGGGGTTAACAGATAGGCAAAATTTTTAGGCTTTTGATACTTACATATAAGTGTATTTTTGAAATATCTTCTATTTGATCCAGGTAGTATGTCACTATATAATTGATAAAAAGCATTTGGTCTTTGGTAGTTTAAAGATTGTGTTATGAAAAAAAAAAAAGATTGTGTTATGTTGAAGCATCAAGATAAAGAAAAATTAGACAACTTTAAAATTTTAATATATACCAAAACAAATTTCTAATAGTCCTGACTAAAAGCTTTAAAGTAGGTAAAACCAGGTCACTTTGGGTTATGTGACTTTCATACTCTGAGAGAATCTTAGCATTCTGCATGTGCCAGGTACATAATCTCCTTTTACACACATAAGAGGTAGTGATGGAGTCTTTCTTGGCTTATGTTGCACTGAACTGAATATGTTTTCATCCCCTCTGGAATGTCGTAAGTATATAAGTTCCTACATTAACCTACAAGTGTGTGTTTTTAAAAAATGTAAGTTTGTACATACTGCTTTTATAAATATCCAAGAGAGAAATGGGCTCAGAGACTAAGTCATAGATAGAATATATATAAAAGTTAAGATATAAATTATCTAATTCAGGGGCACCAAAAATATGCACTTAAAATAGACTAGCTTTTGGTGTAGCTCTTAACTTAGTATCATTTATATGAGTAGCTGAAAAGTATATTTTATCACATAAAGCAACAAATATTCTCTTGTTTGGGACTGTTGATAAAATAACTTTCCCTAAGAGATTTTTTAAAAAAATCTTGCACTGCAAGATTTCATTCTTAGCAAATGGTAGAAGCTATTTTTTTTCCATGTTTCATGCCTAATTGCTACTGCTGTAGGAAATCCTTTTAGTTGGACCCTCATAACTATGTTCAGTTAGCATTATTAAAGGTAACTAGTATTCCTTTAACACACCAAGGCCATCCAGAAAACAGGCTTTTTTTTTTTTTTTAAAGAAAGGAAAATACTGAATAGATACTACACAGTAGGAGGAAGAGAAATACAAATAGCTTAAAACGTCCTCATACCCAATTATATGACACTAGGAAGGTAAAATTCTCTCTGGAGTAAAGCATCTCTATTATGAGGCAGAGAAGGGGCAGATAGGAGCTAATGAAGAAGCTATAGTCCCTTAGATATTTATTTCAAGACTTTTTATTTATACCTGATTTTACAGAATCCCTTCAAATCATGCGCCACAGCTGACATTGGATGGATTAATTTCTCTGGCTTCTGGCCATCACCTTTCAAAATGTAAACTTGTGCAATAGTACATACAGGTTTCCCTGACCATGCTTCCAGAAAGTTTTCTTTTGCACTGCATATTAAATAGATACTTGTGCAAGGCAATGTATTATAAGAACTCCTATGCCAAGGTTAATGCCAGCAAGTGTGCCCCCCAAAAGTCAGATATGTGCTGGCTCTGTCTATAGTAACCTAATGTCCATGGATTAGTTCTGGGGGTGCAAGTTATAAGTTTGATAGGTAATTTCTCCATCTTCTACAAAAATACGTAAGATTAAAAAGTTCTGACACTACAGCGTAAACTTTTGCCTCTAAGGCAGTGGTTCTCAACCTCTGGCCCTTTAAATACAGTTCCTCATGTTGTGACCCAACCATAAAATTATTTCCGTTGCTACTTCATAACTGTAATGTTGCTACTGTTATGAATCGTAATGTAAATATCTGATATGCAGGATGGTCTTAGGCGACCACTGTGAAAGGGTCGTTCGACCGCCAAAGGGGTCGCGACCACAGGTTGAGAACCGCTGCTCTAAGGTCTAATTTAGGTCGTCTTCGTCCTCTAAAACAAACTAACAATTTTGTGTCTTTTGCACCTGTTTTCCAAAGTTCAATTTCAGAGTACATGTGAATGAAAGATATTTTCAAACCTTAAACACCGGGTAATTGATGTAAAACAAGTCGCTGGGCAAAAGATAAGTCATAACAGACAGTGCCTCCAGCCAGGACAGGTTTGCCAAGAGGCCTATTCATGCATAGATAATCCCCAATCCTATGTTTACAAGAAATCAGATCCAAATCCTTTTTCCAGACCAAAGCAATGACTAATCAAAGAACACAAAGGAGTAATTTGGGCTGACAGCCATTAAAGGAAATGGCAGAGCCATTCTTTTAGAGAAAGAGTATAACTAAAGAATGGTTTCTGTACATTTCTAACCTGGCAAGTAGCAGTCTCATAAAAGTGCTATCTTGTAGGACAATGCAAAGCAGAGAGCTTGGCACCCTGGAATTCTGTATAGACTATACACTACCATGTTTCCTACTTACATCAAGGGCACAATAAAGCAAATTTTAATTTGGACGTCATTTCCAATTGAAAGGCAGTCTAGATACCCTTGATAACCCCCAGCTTATAAAACCAAATGCTGGATAAAATACAAGCAACATTGTAAATTAATATTAAATAATACACAATATCTTAAAATATATCACTGAATTGACATGAAAGTAAGTCATCGCAAAACTCCCAAAATGAGGTGAAAATAGGAAACCTGTGAGGTAAGACAGTACCAAATCCCACTTTGCCCTGAGACTTGTGTTGAGCTGGAGACCATGAAACAGCAGCAGCGGGGGGACTGGACCTAAAGCCTGAGGCTCACTGGAGTCCGGAAGGGCCACCACAGAAAAGTGAGCACTAGGAAATTTGCCTGCCTCCACTGTGGTGCTGGGTGGCGGGAGATAAATCACCAGCTCCCTCAAATTCAGACAGGCCAGCCCTCCACGTTTGTGATCTGAAATCACAGAACCTTCAAGCTGGTCAAGTGGTTTCAGGTTGGTAGCTCCTCCTGCAGTGTCTGGCAGAGCAAACTCTCCTCAGGACCTCAATTTCAATCCATGCTTCAAATAATTCCTATTTCCCAAGGAAAATAAGTTTAAACTCGAGGGAAAATGGCACCATGAGGGAAAACAACACAGTGTACACAACAGTGGAATCACTCACAAGGACTCTAAAGGAAAAAGTAATTTGTAAAGGAATAGAAGCATGGAAAATACGAAGAATGAGCAAAAGATTACAGAGAACAAACAAGACGATTTGTAAACCAAATAAAACTCATTGAAATAAAGACCTGGACAAGTGGCTCAGTTGGTGCAGCGTCATCTCATACACCAGAAGGCTGCAGTTTGATTATTCCCAGTCAGGGCACATATTTAGGTTGCGGGTTCGATCCTTGTCAGGGTATGTACAAGAGGCAACCATTGGATGTTTCTATCTCACATCCATGTTTCTCTGAGAATCAATAAAAACATCTTCTGGTGAAGATCTAAAAAAAGAAAAACCCAACAAATAGAGGGGGGAAAAATAAACACCTCCCCCCCAAAAAACCCCAAGACATAATTTATGACAAGGACCTAGAAATAAATCCAACTTATATTTGTAATCACAATAAATATAAATGTACAAAACTATGCAATTAAAAAGATAGTTTCTCTTTGGTCTTTTGAGTGTGTCTCCTGCAAATTCAAAATATAAGACCAAAGACAGATCTAAGATATTCAGATAAAGACTAACCAAAATCTTGCTAGAGTAACAAAATAATAAAACTAAGGCAACAAACAACATTCATAGAGATAGAGTCCCTGCATGGTTATAAAGGGTCCAAAATTCACCAGGGAAGACAGAATTCTAAATTAGTATGTATCTAATAATAAAGCCAAAAAAGAAAGCAAATAATGATAACTTCAAGAGACATTGAAAAATCTATCATAATCAGATCATGAGACTTCAGGAAATAAGAAATCAAGTAAAAGGTGAATCAGTATAGAGATTTACACAGAACAACTAACAAATTTGATTTAATAGATATGATACTCCACTATTGGGGAACACACTTTCTTTTCAAGTATATGTGGAACATGCATGAAAACTGATCACTTGATAAATCATAAAGCTATTTTCATTTCAGAAAACTGAAACCTTATAGCTCATATTCTCTACAAAATGCTAATAAACTATAACACTTCAGTCCCCAGCATCTCCACTAAAAAACAAATATATAACACACCCTGGCATGTGGAAATAACTTTAAAAATAACAATTGGGCTAATATTCAAAGCTATGGAATATTTAATATTTTAATTTTTAAAAAGGCACAAATAAACTAATAGGAATGAGAAAGGCTCATAACTACAGATGCTATGCAAACTAAAAATGTAAAGATAACATGGCTTCATATAAAAAAATTTTTAAACTAAGATGAAATGGAGAAATCACTAGAAAAAAATATTAATCAAAACTGTGTGCTTGCTTTGGCAGCACATATACAAAACTAACTCAATATAAAATCTTTATGATCCTACAACCCCTAAAGAAATGGAAGCAATAGTTAAAATTCTTCTCTTAATGACAAATGGCTTTAAAGACAAGGTCCAGCCCTGGCCGGTGTAGCTCAGTGGATAGAGCGTGGGCCTGTGGACTGAAGGGTCTCAGGTTTGATTCCCATCAAGGGCACATACCTGGGTTGCAGGCTCGATCCCCAGTGTGGGGTGTGCAGAAGGCAGCCAATCAATGATTCTCTCTCATCATTGATGTTCCTATCTCTCTCTCCACCTTTCCCTTCCTCTGTGAAGTCAATAATGTTAAAAAAATAAAAGACAAGGTCCAATCTGAAACTCTTCCAGACAATTGAAAAACTCATTTCATGAGGCTAGTCTAACCTTGATACCACGACTAGACATGAAAGGAGTATTAGAGGCCGATTTCACTCACCAATATAGGTGTAAATATCCTAAACAGAACACTGGCAAACTGAGTCCAGCAATGTACTAAAATGTACGAGTGCATGCACACACACCCATGACAAAGTTGGGTTTGTCCTAGGAATTAAAGATTGGTTGAATATTAAAAAGTCAACTACCATAATTTTATACATTAACATTAAGAAGAACA